CTTCAAGTCCAGTTTCAACATCTGGGACCAGTGCTTTGGATGATAATAATGGTGTTGAAGATTATTTGATTTGGTCTACAATAGGGGAGCATCAAGCCATCAACAAACCAGTAGCAGGAATAACAATGAACTTCAATTCTACTTGCAAAAGTCAGCAGAGCCCCACACAAAGGAATTTCTACTATTGGGTTGGTGGAGGAGCAACTCAAATCAATTTCCTGTTCTTTCGGCCATGGCTCGAGACATGCTAAATGTACCGATTTCAACAGTCGCATCAGAGAGCGCATTTAGCCAAGCAAGGCAGCAACTAGGAGATACCTGTCATTCATTGGGTAGCAACGCTTTGGAAATTCTAGTATGCTTCAGAGATTGGATAAGATCAGAATGATAAAATCAAGGGCGTGACGAGGTAGATGAAGCGGAGGACCAAGAAATTGGAGATACAATGGTTTATGGAGATACAATGCCGGAAATCAAAAACCTCATGTTGACATGGATGAACTTACAAAAATGATGCAAAGCATGTGATGTACTATTTGTTTTTTTATAATTGTTGTAAAATTTTAATTTGCAAGTTCAAAAATAACAAAATCAAAAAAGAACTTGCAACTTAATTTGAAGTATTATATATTATTCAATAAAAATATCAAATGAAAGTCTTCGGAGCTTGATCCTTACATATAGTTCTTATTAAATAATATTTTGTAGCCACTTGCTTTCAAATTTTAATTTTAATATTATAAAATTCAAATTTCAAATTTCAAATTTTAAACTTCAAAGTTTAATTCTAAGCCTTAAAAGTTTACAAACACTTAAGTAGTTAAGTATCAATAACATTGAATAAGAAAAATAAAATTTACTTAAAAAAATAAATAAAAATCCACGGCCCGCTAACAACCCGCTAACAGCCCGCGAACAACCCACGAACAGCCCTCTAACAACCCGCTAATAGCCCGCTAACAATCTTCTAAGCCCGATCCCGGACGGACAAAAAAAATCCAAAAATGTACAGCCCGCTAACAGCCCGCAACATTAAACGGACGGGCTGATTTATTTTTGTCCAGCCCGTCCCAACCCGCCCGTTAAACACCCCTAGGTACAGTAATGTACTTGCTATGAGAGTTGTAGAGAATCTTTTCCCTTTGGAACCCAATCCCTTGCATGTTTCCCCCATTATTGGTGTACATGACAGTGATAGCATCAGAGGACCAGGTCCACTTGAGTGATTTTTCAAGATCACTCTTCACTCTACCTAGTTCTTTCTAAAGTTGTTTGTTTTTCTCAAGCTCAGCACACAGACTAGACTTCACTGAACTTAACTCACTTTCAAGCTTAATGTGTGCCTCACTTGCAACTTTCTTTCTCTTTTGATAATTTTCAGGCCTACTCTCCATTTTAAGTTCCCCAATTATTTTCAAGTTCACTACCACCACTAATAGGTCATCTCTCTTATGCTCAATGTTAGCAACTCTCTCAGCTAAGACTTCTTTTTCCTTTCTTACACACTCAAAGGTCTCTTTTAGGTCTATCACAGCGACCATTAGATCATCTCTTTCATGTTCTATATGTGCAATTTTTTCATCTAAGGCATCCTTCTCTTTCTTCAGGTTCTCAATTGTTTCCTTTAAATCAACAACAACGATTACTACGTCATCTCTGATTTGTTCTGCTTCTCCTAACTCCATAGTTAAAGCATCTTTATCATTTATAAGACTGTGATAAGCATCAATTAATACATTTGCCAAAGACATGAGTTTTTTAGGAGAATAAGATTTTAGATTTCTCTGAACATCCAGAAAATTTACCTCATCATCGTCGTCATCTTCATCATCATCAGATTGGGCCATCAAGGAAAGGATTGAGTCATACTTAGTTGCTTCACTTTTCACTGCCATCATTGAACTATCACCATGATTATTTTCTTCTTCAGATTCGCTGGAGGAGTCTCCCCATGCAGCAAGAGCTTGCTTTACAACATTGTCAGCGGTATTCTTTCTCTTGAAGCGTTTATCACGAATCGAATTCCTCTTGGCTGCGTTGTCAAAGTTGTTTTTGTACTGATCTTTCTTTAGGAGAGGGCAATACTTGATGAAGTGTCCTGTCTTGCCACATTTATGACAGAGGTCATAATTTTTTGGCTTGCTAGAACTTCCCTTTTTTGGAATGCCTCCATTCCTGCGAACCATCTTCTGGAATCTTCTTGTCAAGTAAGCCATATCACCATACTCGTCACTTGAATCATTGATGTGTGTTTTGAGGACCAGGTTCTTCTCTCTTTTGGGTTCTCTTATTTCATTGTCCTTCTTCTTCTTTATTTCATATGTTTTTAGATTGCCGACAAGTTCATCTATGGTCAGTGTCTGCAAGTCCTTCGCCTCTGTAATGGCGTTCACTTTGCTTTCCCAAGAACTGGGCTGTGCACTAAGGATTTTCCTGACAAACTTGTTTCTTGGAATAGTTTCACCAAGAGAGTGAAGCTCATTAATGATGGAGGTGAAGCGAGTATGCATATCTTGGATGAATTCATCATCTTTCATCCTGAAGAGCTCGTATTCAGTTGTGAGCATGTCGATCTTGGATTGCTTAACCTGTGTTGTTCCTTCGTGAGTTGTCTGAAGAGCCTCCCAAATTTCTTTTGCTGATTGGCATCCCGATATCCTGTTATATTCATCAGGACCAATGCCACACACAAGAATTTTCTTTGCACGAAAGTTCTTTTCTATGGCCTTTCTATCAGCGTCATTGAATTCTTTCCTCGTCTTGGGAATGGATATAGTAGGGTCGCCAAGATTCTTGGTGGGAACAAAGGGTCCATCACAGATAACATCCCATAGCTCTGAATCTTCATCCATGATGAAGTCATGCATCTTAGTCTTCCACCATCCATAATACTGGCCATTGAACCTTGGTGGCATATAGGTACACTGACCTTCTTCAAAGTTCGGTGGAGCAGCCATGAGGATTCTTTCTAGGTGTTAGCCTGATAGAAAGAACCGGCTCTGATACCAATTGATACAATTCTAGGGTCTACCAAATACTATAGAGAACCAGGTTCTCTATCGGTTTCCACAGATTATGAAAACACAGCAAAAAGTAAATAACACGGAGAGTTTTTACGTGGAAAATTCCCAGCTCAACGGGATTAAAAACCACGACCTACCCTTGTAGGATTTCAACTTCACTACTGAGCAAATTTCATATTACAACCTATGCAACCTAGGAATTAATCTCTTAATCCCTCACTAACTTGTAACATACTATTACAAGCCACTTTGTAATAACTCTATTACAAAGACTTTAGAACTCGACTAACTCTACAAGACACAAACACAAGGGTTTATGATTTACAAAGGGTTTCCTATGGAATGCTTCTAAACAAGCTAAGTAGGAATTACAATTGAAGAACTATTACAAAGTTACAACTCAACTAAGGACATACAATAACTTGATATGGGGAACTGGTCCGTAGTAGTGTTATTCTTTGTTCTTGATGCACTTGAGAATCGTTTTCTTGATGATCAATCACAGTGAGTATGCTTGAGTAAAATCTCTAAGTGTTCAAGTGATTTGTTTTACCTTCCTTGATGTTAATAATGCAATTGTGACATCACTAGGATAATGTAAGCAAGGTAGGTAAAAGACATTCCCCATAAAGTTGACTGCTGCATTGTTTCTGCACTGTAGCGTGTGCAGGCAGCAACTTTACAGCTGGGGCTGTTGACTTGTGCAGCTTCCTCAGGAAACGGTAGCTATATGTTCCCTCTGTTGTTCCTTTGACTCTGAAGAGTTGAACCATATCCCAAGGTGGAACCTTTTGATCTTAAGGTCTTGAGAATGTGTAACAGGTTCCTTATCTGGTTCTTGACAGTAAGTTTGTTAGATCATCAAAACATAACAGGGATATACATATAGCCTATCAATTATGTTTCTGCCCCCTGCTTCAACCTCCCTCCCATTCAAGAGACCTAAGGGTGGAATTGTTGTTGTAACGTTGTTCATCCAAAGAGCCAAGGGTGGGTGCCATTCCCAAATGACTGGCGATAGATTTGTCACTTGGGTGTCTATTAGTGTTTGTTCAGATAAGAATAGTATTAAATATGGTATATTAATAATGGTGGAGATTAGTTATGTTGAAATTATTTCTTATCGAATTTTTGATTTGGAAAATTATTTGTTTACGAAAAATACCCTCCACATTCGTTGGAAAGGATTTGAAAAATATTTGAAAGAGCAATTATGTTTCTATACATGCTATCCACGTGCTAAAATCATGATATTGCTAATGTCACAGTTTGCTATGTATAAGAATAGTACTGAATAGGATATATAACTAATACAAGTATCCGTTTTACATAGGTTAAAAACACTACCAAAGAAGTAATTATTAATATTAAAGCTAATACATATATTATTTTTCCTAATATATCCTATCAAACGACCCCTCTGTAAAATGGAAAAGCAATGTCAAATGACCTGGTGATACCCTAGTGACTTGAGAAGTGCAATATCCGGAGTTCCAGAACCCCAAATTCGTCCTCGCCACTACATTGACCAATTGCTCAAAAGAAGAAAATTCAAAGATCACGTAGTTCTGCAGAAAGACGGATCTAGATTAACATATAGTACTTAATCTACCCCCCCCCCCCCCCCCCCCCCC